CGAGCTGCTAAAAAAAATTGGCCAAACGCTCAATTCGGCCCTCTACTGTCAACAGCTGGACTGCTTGAAGGCAGCACTCATCCAGAAGAGGCCATCTTTCATCAACAGAGGCTGAATTGTGTTCCATCAGGACAACGCCAGGCCACCCACGTCTTTGGTGACGCGCCAGAAGCTCCGGGAGCTCGGATGGGAGGTCCTAATGCACCAACCTTATAGTCCGACCTGGCAAAGGCAAGGCCTGAAGTGGCAACAAGGCAACAAGTTTTCGAACAAAACGCTGCATATTTGACTTCGGACTTCGGAGTCGGACATATGTACACAAAGTTATCATCTTTTGAAAAATCAATAAAAAAACCGAACGAACTTTTTACTTGTACTAAATAACTAAATATATTATATATATACATTTAGTCATACACTACCTATACACAGTTAGAACGTAGCGTGTCATAAGTTTGTCTGAAGATCAATTTGAATGAATAAAGTAAAGTCAAAACGAACAAACACAGCTAAATGAAAAGTGAAGTTTATTCGCGAAAATACTAAAGTATTAAGTATTAAATTTTTTTAAACCGTATCTACTAAAAAAAACAAAAAATCGTTCAAACAAAAAAAAAATGTATCCTCTTATTAAAAACAAAAAATCGATTTGACAAAAACCAAGAGCACCACTTAACAAAAATTGTTATGGAAGAGCTGCAGCAGAAAATCGCCGAGTTGGAGCAAATAATTCGAGCTCAAAATCATCAACTTCTAGCCAATGATGGAGTTCCACAACAGTTACAACAACAAATGGCCCAGCAACAGGGGCAAATTCCAGTTCAAGATCACGAAGCCCACAGCATGGCCATCGGTACGAATAAAGTTTTAGATCAGTTTGGACAACTAAAAGCATTTTCGGACAATTAATCGTACAGTCTCATATCTTTCATTAAGGCAGTTGAATGTACAATGACGATTTGCAATGGAAACCAAGCTGTATTAAATTTTGGATTGCAAATCATAATGAACGAGA